GATATAAGAACCCCTTATTTGGTGTTTATAAGTATATAATTATTTATACTATAATGTGGTTGTAAGCAGATATATTTAGTTTTTATTATCTATTTATACAGTAGCCTTCAGTTATAGTTTAGTTGTTGACAAATGTATCAATAAACACTTATACCAGCTTACAGCAAAATTATAGTGCGTTTTAAACCCTTTACCAAATGTTTCTATACTGCTCATAAATGCTTAATACTGGGACAAAAGGGAAATAGTCTAATTACAGAATCTATTAGGGTGATGTTGCATTCTTTCTTATCGGATGCATTTATCTCATCTCATTGTTACACTCAACAAATATGAAAAGTGACATGCACACCCTGATTTTTAACCAATTTTTTAACCAATAACCATTTTATGTGTGAATTCCTTGCAAAATGAAGACATTACATTACAAACTATATTATGACATCTCAACACTGACTTTTTGCAACACGAATACACAGACAGAACCCATACGATTATATTTATGTGTTTACCAACTAACCACCTACAGTGAGTATTGTCTTCAGTAGGTTCACGTTCAGTGTTGACTGTTCTGTGTTGACACAAACTGCTGAAGGTTGGCCCTAATCACACAGCCACATAACTGTTTATTCTAAGCACATACTGTAAAATACACAAAGCTGTAAGACAAATGTACTGTAAACAACGACGAGACTGTGGGCTGTGTGTACAGCAAAGAAAGAGAGAAACTTTGACTGTATCAGTCAAGTATTGCCTGGAGTGGAGCATTAAACCTTGGTTATCGCCCACATCGGTACGACCACGTGTCCTCCAATGCCCGGAGAGCCTGTTGGTCGATTTCCTTCCATCACCAGACTGTAAAGAACTTTTCTATCAGATTCAGAAGTGGACAGTATGGAAAAATGAATGTACAAGTAGTCTGCTTGGAACAATAATGTATGCCTCATGTTTATCTCCACAAAAAAAAAGTCTAATTTCCACATTAAAACCCTTAAAAGGGCATCTACTCTAGTCCAGAATCTATGAATATGCAAATTATCTCAATTTTTAAAGTTTTCCTGCCTGACACAAGACGTCTCCTAGTCTCCGCTCTCAGTATATGTGCATTAGTGGCTTTGAATTTCTACATCACGCTTGTATAAGTTGCAAACTGGACCAGGCTCGACTTACAAACTAGTTATAATGTCATAAATCAGGCTCGTATAGGCCCAGTGCCTTAAAATCAGATTTTCATTGAGCTCAGAGAAACTTTCCACTTTGAGCAGATGAATGTGAAAACATCTTTCTAGTGTCAAACTCTGCACATACATCATCCTGCACAGTGAAGCTCAAACATCCCACTGTAGGAACAAGAAGAAAAACATATTTCTGAGTGGAGGAGGACTTTAATGTATGCTGTAGCATTAAAATTTCCCTTTACTGGAACCAAAGTTGAAAACATCCCACGACCAAAAACAGATGGACAGGGGTGTCCACATATTTTCATCCATATTGTGTTTTTATTTATTTATTTATTTGATATATTTTATATTTGCCAGTGAGATTCATTTCTTCTTTTCATTTTTTTGGTTATTTTATTTTTGTTTGCTTACTCAAGGTGTATTTATGCTAGAGCTTTGTCTTCAAAATGTGAAAAGCTTTTAATCTTTTAGTGTAAGTATGAAAGTCGGTGAGAGACTTTTTGAATGTTGTCTGCAATAAGCATTATTTAAAATACCAAACTGAGTTCAAAGCAAACAAAAAAATACTTGTAGTTTTAATTACGATATTGATACCTGAGCTTTAGATTTCAGTAATGTTGTTTTCCAAACACTTGTTTATAAATGAATCAATCATTTAATCAATAGAGGGTGTCAGAGGTTTATGATCATTCTTGCCTGAACCCTCCACAGAATATACATCTATATGCTGTGCTGTACAGAAATATCTTCCTCTTTCTCTGTGAGAAATGTTAAAGTCACCCTGAAGCTCTCATTCTCTCCTCCCTCTGAAAAGGTCCTGACCGCTAAATGTACAGCGAGCACAGTATCTATTCAGTACCCACAAGAATCATGGTTAATGTTAAGTAAAAGAAGAAATTGCATTGAATTGTGGAGCACTGAGGTGCTTTATAATCATGACCTTTGGCTACCTATAGCCTACATATGCTCCAGTGCTCTGCAGAGACCGTTCAGTGCAAGCAGGAGGATTTTCTATAACAGGCTTAGCCAGCAGAATATCTATATTCCTGCATATTGTGGCTTTTATGTCAGAAAGGTATAGCCCTTGGTGTATGTTACCTTCTGTTTAACTATTTAATATATATGATATGATGGCGAAGTGGGTGTTTTTGTTGGTTCTTGAGAAGCAACCAGTTTGGATATATGAGCTTGTCACTCAGCATTGACTGTATAGGATTTGACACGGTTTTGATTTAATATCAAAACAGAGCTTTTCTTCCAGCTTCATGGTCCTCTTTTGAAAATGGGCCAGTCAGGAACATTAATTTCAAGGGAGGAGAATCCCGTTTTCTGGACTTAAATAAGTTTCTTTGTTGCAGTGATATTGTTTGAACGCATATTATACAGATAATGATGTTAAATGTGTTCCCGGAAAGAAGGATGCTGCAGTGATTAATGGGACTGTTCTTCCACTAGAGGATCCCTTCTTGCTGATAGGCGGTTGATGACATAGCAGATACCACTAAGGACACTGAGATCAGGTCATCTGTATATGTTTCTCTGAGACCCTTCATATTTAAAGGAGTATTTCAACATTTGGGGGATGAATTAACCTTATTCGCTTTCTTGCTGAGGGATTGGCAGGGGCTTGTCTAAACGTATTTGACTGGGGTGAACCTAGTGGGGAATTGACATATGCAGGGGTGGCATGAAGTACGTGCCTGCAAACACACACACAAACACAAGTTGGAACAGCATTAATTTACCATTTCTCATATCTACTTTAATTGCTAACATTGCAGTATCTTACAGTTTCTTACATTTACGTGTTTAAAATGATTATTTAGAGGATATTGCCCTACCAATCAGAACACTACACAGTATATAGTATAAAACTTCCATACTTTATTATTTCTCAAAAAGGAAATATACCTCCAAAAGTAGGCTGCATGCAAAAGAAATAAGTGTAGGCACGCACATTCAAACCAAAAGTGCTGAGCCGAAAGTAAGCAAATATAGAAATAAACAACTCACACACTGCCGGGCTCCAATGTCCACTTAAATAAGTGTAACAGATAAGTGGACACTGAGGGACAGAAAACATAACTGAACATTTAACTGAATACATAAACTATAAAAATCCAAGTAGCTTAAATAAATATAAAGGTGGCTGTAAGGGGTGTGTGCATTGAAGGGGACTTGAAACCTTGACTTCAGTATTTATAAAAATCCTGCAGGCTACAGCTGTGGCTGAGCAAGACAATGTTTTCAAAAAAAAGGGGGGCAAAGCCTGAAAAGAAAGCGATGGCCGATCAATAAAGCATAAATCACATCACTACTGTCTCACAAAAATACGCTAATTTCTGCTTGTCGTGACAAACAACAGCTACGCATACAGGAACTCTTTAATATGTTAATTTCTCTTCTTATAAACCACTAAAGGGTGAGTAACTAAGACTTTATTTGTGGTTGATAAATTATATTGATCAGATATACATCATCATTAATAACCACTTTTGGTTGCCAGGTTGTGAAAAATCTCTCCAGCTGGTGTTTTTCCTCCTCCAGCAGGCTCTCATTTTGTTTGTTTTAGCCCTTTAGTTCATGATTCATTGTGTCAATGGGCTACTGACCTCTGACCTCCTGCAAAAGGACTGCAAGGCATCTGAATGAAAATCAATGTATTGACATTGCCATTTCCATGATTTATTGTAAAAGCCCCTATTAGATCTACTAGCCACATTAGCAGCGTGGCTGTATGTAAGTATGGGGCCACTTTGGTCCTACCTGAAGAATCTCAACAACTATTAGATGGATTGTTATGATATTTATTACAAACATTCACGGTTTCCAGAGGGTGACTCATACTGACTTTGGTAATCGCTTTGACTTTTCCTCTAGCACCACCAGCAGGTCACACTTTTTACTTAAACTGTGAAATATCTCATCACCTACTGGATTGGCACTAGATTTTGTAAGGATGTTCATTGTCCCCAGAGGATGAATCGTAATGATATTAATGATTGTCTAACTTTTCCTCCAGCGAACCTGTTCTGCTTTGACTGAAATGTCTTCATAACTATTAGCTAGATTGTCATGAAATTTGATGCAGGCATTCATGTTCCCCTCAGGATGAACTGTATAAACTTTGGAGATTTTCTGACTTTCCATCAAATCAAAAATGTAATTTGTTCAATACTTCGGTTTTGGAGCAAATACCTGCAGAAATGAATAACATCCCCATCAGCCGCAGCTGTGCTTTTTGTTTAACACTGATTAGCAAATGACAACATGCTAACATGCTAAACTAAGATGGTAAAAATGATAAATGATTTACCTGCTACACACCAGCATGTTAGCATGCTTTAGCACTCAGCCTGGCAGAGCTGCTTTATGACTGTGGGCTCCTGTGGGCTGATTGCAGATGATTTATTAACTCTTGCTGGTGACTTACTAGAAAGTGAGAAACTCGTGACCCTTCATTAATGATGTTATTAACACATCCTGTCCATTACATTACTTATTTGCATTTAACTGCAGCTTTGATGGTTCATTTAGAATGTGAGAACATCGTGACTTCACCATTAAATGACTCACCAGCAAGACAGATCTCTCACAACCTGGCAACCCAAAGGTTGATCTTATTAACGGCTTATAGCTGATCTATGAAACATCTATTAACTATGGATTCAGCCGTCAGGTGCTGCTCATAAAGCCTTTGCATGGAGTGTCTTATGAGAAGGTGTTGCTGTAATTTGAAATATCTCCACTCTCTTTGCCTACAGTGCAGTCTGCCGCCTGCTGACTCTCATCTGATTAGTGTGCATGTGCCGGGGAACAGTAAAGTTGGCTCTGTAATAATAAGCATTATAAGGCGGTCTGCCTGAGCTCAGTCCGTGGGAGGGGTCTGCCAAACCTTTCCCTCTAATTGACCAGGGAGCAGAAGCAGTCGGGGATGCGAGCAGCCACAGACGGAGAGAGAGGTACTCAGAAAACCGCATTTTGTTGTTTAATAACCGACTATTGAAGCACATTAGATGGAATTAGATCTATTGGCGTGTCTTGTGGTTGCTAAGTGTTTTTGGAAGCAGCGATTTGAGAGCTTGCAGAAGCTCCGAAAAGGCAAAAAGATAAAGTGTTACTGAGCAGTGGAAATGGCATTGTGTATTTTCATGGGAATTCGTTTAAGACTTGCTTAGCTGTACTTTAAAATGCTTGCTGTGCACCCAAGAGACAGCTGCGTGTACATTTCGCTTGTGCAAATACTTCGTGTGCAGACATAAAGTGGCTTGCAGAAAAAAATGAAAGTGCTTTCAGGTAGTTCAAACATCATATTGTTTTCTCTCTTTGTGCGTGTTTTACTGACAGAGACGGACGCATGGGCTTGACACAACGGGAAACCCAGCCCGATGTTCAAATGGCTGATCTCGAACTGTTTTACTTTGATCAACCCGATCCGAGAGACGCCTCCCTGGTTTTAAATGAGCAAAGTATCAACGAGCTCGGCTGCAGCGGCGGAAAGTGTCCTCATCCCGGCGGAGGAGACGGTTCAGCACCCTGGACAGAGACCGGGAGAACCGCGTGGCCGGAGGAGGAAACAGAAACATCTTTCACCTGCAAGCACCGAGAGGATGAAGAGGATGATGATGTCCAGCTGATAGGGACATGTCCACAAACATGCAGACTGAGTCAGAGCTCCTCAAGTGAACTGTACGAGGAGGAGGAAGAGGAGGAGGTGGGGGAGGAGGGGGAGGAGGAGGAGGAGGAAGAGGACATCCCGGAACTTTACTTGCTGTCCGACGACGACCTCTCCTCTGACGACTCGGGGAAGTCTGTGGATTACGGCTTCATCATCGCGGTGACATGCCTGGTGACTGGCATCTCTTTGGTGGCCATATCCTACACGGTGCCCAGGGACGTCCGGGCGGACCCCGACAGCGTGTCCGCCCGGGAGATGGAGCAGCTGGAGAGGGAGAAAGCCAGGGTGGGGGCCCATCTGGACCGGTGTGTCATAGCGGGACTGTGCCTGCTCACCCTCGGGGGCGTGCTGCTCTCCACCCTGCTCATGATCTCCATGTGGAAAGGGGAGATGATGAGGAGGAAAGCCTTTGCCTATTCCAAACACGCAGCAAAGTTATACGGCTCGATCAATTTGAAAGCAGGCTCCAGCCCGACTCGGGAATCCTGCTCACATTTGTCAGTGGCTGATGAGGATTTAGAGGTGCTCAGCTGAATTTATGGACAGGACAAGCAGAAAAGACTCAGAAAAGTGCTTAGGAAATCCTACCAGTGCTGTTCTATAATCCGGGATGTTGTGTGGTGTTTAATTCCTTTTTTATTTCTAACATCTGGGAGCGGTTTTGGTTGATATAGACCTTTTTTTAAAAAAAAAGTCTGTCTTAATACAATACACACATGTCCTTATTCATTGAAAGAGCTTTTGTTTTCTGTATTTCAGTGTTTCTTCAATTCATATTGGCCCTGAAGAAATTCCAATCTGAGTGATTGGGGACAAAATCCACAGTCTTTCTTGAGTACAAATGCATTTTAACGCTCATCTGAGGCAAATATGAGGCTTTATAGCAGTTGGATTTGCAGGAGTTCAGATCAGAAACAAGAGCCGAGGCTGTGTTGGTGGGAGCGTGTTGCTTCAGTTACTGGTGAAACAATTCAGGCCCAAACTGAGAAGAAATCTTGATGAGCTGAAGACTTATCAGATGAACAACTCTGCAAACTTAGCACAGCTGCAGCTGTAATTATTATTTTATCGTTTCCTCTTCCATCAAGAGAAAACAGTAGAAATACAGTATTCATGTTACAGTACCAGGAATGTGACCTTGTGTTGCCAGACTGGGCTCATTCAAATGAATTAGGAAGCTGTGTGGAGGCTAAAGTCGGTCTTTTTAAAGTGACTTTTTAGTACAAACTTATCTCTTTGTGTTATTATCCCTGCACAACAAACACAAACACATACCAACATGTCAGATAAACTTTCAAATGTATTAAATTTGATCTTTTTACAGCCAGTACGGACAAGAGGAACAATTAAAGCAACCATTAACTCCTGTACATGTGGGCATGTTAGTGTTGTATTAAGATTAAAACCTATACATTAAGTTCAAAGTAAACGATGCATCACGTTGAGTTGTACAAAATTAATAGGATTTTTTTTTTTTTTTTAAAGGTAAAACACAAGATATGTTTTCCTGAAATATATATTTTGTTTACATTGGTGGTTGGTGGTTTGCCTTATGATGATCTCAGACCCATCTTTCTGTTCACCACTGCATCCCCGCTTCTAACGATGCTGCTATTTCAGTGACTCTCATGTTTACATGCCTGTGCAGACTTGTATGTTGAAGGCCTGTGTGTATACCGTAGCTGCAGGGGAAATCAAACCAGGGGCTGGTGTCTGCCTTCATTTTTCCACCTCGCCAGCAACAGCACTTCACTGATTTATGCAGCTAACGAATCTGCGCTGATCTGGTTTACAAAAACAACAACTGCATGTTGAACTCCAAAGAAGTTCTGCTTAATATTATTGTGACACGCTGAAGTGATGCTTGTATTTGTCGGATTTGTTGAAACACAAATAGAAATACCACAGGAGGCGTAATTAGATTTTGTGGTTGAGCACCGACGACAGGGAAGCTCAGTTTACCCCAAATACTCTTGGGGGGGGGGTTTGACTGCAGATGTTCAAAAGCGTACAGAGAGAGAATCAACAAACCCCTGGGGTGAAGCTCTCCTGGTAATTGGTGTTACTTAATTGCTCATGGGAGGCCTGTGAATCAGTGAAAAGGAAAAACAGCATTTTAACAACTGCCTCAATCAAGCCCGCTTCACCCGCTTATCAAAAAACAAAACCACTCCAGCTGCTGTATTGGAGTGAACTGTTACATTGCATTCAAGGGGGAGGAAGTCATGGATAGCCTGCTCTGACAGAAGATGCTGTGAATGAACAATTGTATCCCCTGCTTACGGTGCGCAGAAAGCTGTGCTGTGCACCCTCTGTAATTGGAAGTGCTTACGGCCAGCAGGATCGCATTATCCTCCACACGACCTTCGCTCACTCTCGCCTCGTTAATGTAATTAATAGGTGGAATCAGCTTTATCAGCCCCTCATATTTATTGTTTTGGAATAATTACATCTTGAGGGTGTGGCTGGTGTCTCCCTTTGCTCACATGAAAGGAAAAGTCCCTTCTCAGATGAGTTATTTTGTGATGAAGCGTTTTGAGAATTCCCCACTTCTCTTCAGCCTGACTCATCTGCTTCTCGCAGTTTCTTCTTACACTTTGCCTGATTTACGTTTTTGACAGCCATCAGAGAACAGCTGTGAGCTTGCTGAATTAAGTACGTGGGTTTGGAGAGACTGGTCTCGCATAGTAAAAGCAAGACAGTGAGTTCTCACAATTTTGGAGAAACATGGAAGTCAGTGATCTGAATTAAAAACCCAACCTGCAGTGCACTCTGGCCTGTTGAGGCTGCTGTCTGCGGGGATCTCAGTCTTTCCAGCTCAGTACAAAAGATTTCTCCCAGTTGATGTTAATTAAAAATTATTCAGTCATGAGAGAAAATGTTTCTCAACAACACTTGACATTTACTGCTATAGTGTTACATACTTGGAGATTTGTCTGTATCCATGCTGGAAATGTCTAATTTTGACATCACATTATCTATGTTTATTGAAATTATAGCCAACATAATGGTCCTGGAAATAAAATAATGACTTTTTAACAACATGATGTCTATCTTCTCCATTAAAGCAAAAAAAAACACAAGGTCCATTTAAAGGTCCAGTGTGTAACATTTAGGAGGATGTGTTGGCAGAAATAGGATGTAATATTCATAGATATGTTTTCATTATCAGTGTATAATCACCTGGAAATAAGAATTGTTGTGTTTTTGTTACCTTAGAATGAGATGTTTATATCTGCAGAGGCCACCATTGCTAAGTTTCTACATTGGCCCAGCAGGGACATGCCAAACACTGGCTGTAGATATGGCTTTATTTATTTTATATTGTGAAGTGAGGGAAGGAGAAACTACGGTGGTTGCGAAAAGCATCCATTCTTGGCTACTGTAGAAACAAGGGGATTAAACATGGAAGAGCTCTTTCTAAGGTAACAAAAACATAACAATTGTTGTTTTCAGTTGATTATACATCAAAGAAAACATAGTTATACATATTATATTCCACTTCTGCCAATAGATCCTCCTAAATGTTTCACACTGGACCTTTAAAATCAAAACTATTTAATATATGTGACTCAATAAGCAACTTATTTAAAAAGTTATTCACAAATCAATTACTAAATTCCCTTCTAAGTTCTCATAGTAACGGTTAACGAGTGTCAAACTACTGATTGTACAAAATGCAGCATTAAAACTTGAAAAATGTCTCAGCTAGTAAAGACTTGAAGTGTATTCTGTTGCCAGGAAACATCTAAAGCAATTAACAAACAGGAGGTCATTGTAGCATCACAAGCTGTGGCTAACAACTTAAAAAAAGCACAGTTTATTTATATCTGCATAAGTGTTTCAGTCTCAGTAGTCTTTATTCAGATTAGAGTGAATGGGAAATATCTGAGTCTGCTGAACTAACTGATGTTATTTGGTCATTTAGGTTATTGTTGTTAGCATAATGTAATTTGTGGTGTATTGTGGGTTTTTTTGAGGGGGGGATAGGGGCAGAATTTGGTTATTATTAAACCACATTTTTATAATTTTGTGTCTGAAGTTGCATAAACACGACTCGACTTCAACATTATGCAAATGAAGTCCACCCGTCGCAACAGCAGCAGACTCACGAACCTCAGATCAAACTGTAAAATGAGTCAATGCTGATTAAATATGAATCTAGAAGACTCTACCTATTTCTCGCTTCACATCTTTTCAGAAACTATTATTTTTAATATTATATTTTAGTCTGCTGTTAATATGTTAACGATTCTGGGCTATGGCCAGCCACGTTGAAAGACGCAGATCCAAAACCCAAGCACCGCCCAACTAGCAGTTTCTTCACCCACCAGCCGGACCATTCAGCGTCCTCGAAAGGATTCTGTGTGTCTGCACTGTCACACCTGGAAGTTCTGGGAATCTCTGGGGTGCCTTATGGCTCGCTCCTGGTTGGAGCTGGTGCCCCATTTACCAAGGCTGAGTCATGGGTTCAAATCTGACCTGTGGCCCTTCGCTGCATGTCATCCCCCCCTTTTCCAGTCGATCTTCAACTATCCTATCTAATAAAGGCAAAAAGCCCCTAAAATATATTTAAGGCCTTAAGTTAAGAACTACTTTTAATTTAATAATGTGTAAATTTCCACTTTATAAACATTGATTTTAACTAGGCCAAGTAACGAAGAGCTGGTGCAGCTGGCAGCACTGTGTGGGCGTGCTTTGATCAGATTTTGATTAACAGTGGTGTTTCCCTGGTAACGTAAACAAACAATCAAAAAACTGTTATCAGATTCTGATTGGTGCATGGAAAAAGCTGACATCCCCTTTTCCCCAATTAGGAGAAGCACAAATACAGACCTCTTTCATGTGAAATAACCAGTCTGGTTCAAACTTTGACAGATAATAGTGTGTTCATATTGGGGGGGGGGCGCTGAGGTGTGGGTGAGTTTGTTTCTTATACAGGCACATTATTAGTGATGTAAAGGGGCTGGGACACTGCAGCAGCTTTAATTGGTGTCTGTGTTTGTTTTGCCAGGGGACTCTCCCAGACACAAAATCAAACCTGTAATAAAAAAAACGACACACACACAAAAACTGCCAAGGCACCGAACAAAATCCCATGCACACGAACACACCGTGAATCTCAGGCTTGTGCACAAAACGTGCGTCTCTTGCAAAAACACACCCTGACAGCCGGACAGACACACACACACACACACACACACTCTCAAACACTCTCTCAGCTGGCACACACACACACACACACACACACACACTCATAGCCTGCGGCCCCCACCTTATCCCCCACTCTTCCATGAATGGAGTTAGTCAGAGTAATCATTCAGGGCAGCTGGCAGCAGGAAATGGAATTGGATTGCTGAAGGGGGTCACTCAGGGTCAAGAGCTGGGGTGTGGTTCTGGACACTGGGGACCAGGAAGAAGAAAAGCCTTTGCGGCTGTGCTTTACATCAGCGTCTGGCAGCCACTTATCATCAGCTGTCATAACCACTCATCACACTGAGTGGCAGAGCACCGACTGCACTGCTCATAAACTCTCTGCGGGTATCACACAATCCTGCATACTTTGTTCTGTTGGTTTGATAAATTAGGAGTAGGATCGTGTCTCCAGGTCTGAAATGCCTCTCTTGAACTATTGCCTTAAGTTAATGACTTATTCAATAATGATTCTCGTTACTCCCGATTGTTGCATAGCAACGGCAGGCAGACTCAGTCACAGCTCGAAGGAGGAAGGGACTGAGCAGAGCTTCGACTGAGAAAGGGAAAAAAAAAGGGAGGAGAAGTGGAGGAAAGTTGGAAAATAAAATCACCATCCACCATCATTTATCAGCTTTATTCATTCAGCTCAGAGGTTTTAAAACCAAAATCCTACACAAACTGACATCCCCCCTTTCAAGCTGTCTTTCAGGAGGTTTTCAGAGCTGAAAGCCGTTGAGGCGGATATACCTGTAGGCTGCATCTTAACTTGGCACTCTGAGGGGAGAGAAAAGTCAGCTATCTGCAGGTATTCACTGATCAGCCTCAGTTTAAAAGCTGAATCATCTTTGTTTGAACTTGCTACAACCCCTTAACACGGTGCACCACTGAAAGGAGATGTGAGCTGCTCTGTAGGTGCAGGAATTCACTGATCCCACACCAAACTCACATTTATTAACTGCCAGTATCTTCCTTTGTTTGTGGTGATTAAGTAAACCACCTGCTGTAGGTTGAGCAGCGCCCACATACTCATGTCCCCTTTTTTTTTTCTCCTTTTGCCATCGTTGTCCTGGAAGAAATGCAGAAGGGACACCATAACCATAGAAACGGGGTCAGCCTGTTGCTACGGAGAAATGCCTGTGTGCCACGGTGGCTCAGTGTAAGGGAGTTAAAGATGCTCTTCTTTTGATTCTCCACTCCAATGGCAGCCGTGGCGTGTGTGGAACCTGACACATTCCCTCTATTATACCCGGGGTAAAGAGGATTTTTTGAACTACACACCTCATTTGAGCAGACGTGTCAGGTGCTGTCACCATATGTCTTCTGTGAAATGTAAGGGAAGACAGAAAATACTTCCTCTGCAAACCCGCACTCTGTTTAGATCAAACATTAAGCTGGAGTCTGGAATGCTGAATAGACGACTTACAGGGTTTCGCTGCACCACAGCATTTTCATTTATAGATTTTTATGCATACAGACATGCTAGACCTTGGTCAGGACTCTGGAGGACATAAAACTGTCACTCACATTCTTCTCCTATATTTTTATTGTACTCTTAAGTACATCTTATATTTTATTACTTCTCTCTGGGTGAGTGGGAAATTGTTGGAGTGTAGCGGAGAATTAGATTAGATTTCTTTTTATTGTTGTTTGCATTGAAAGCAAACCGATGAACCATAAAAAAACAATAAAAAGAGTTTAAAAAATGGTGGTCTCTCCCTATCATTAACTATGCTAAGGATATGAAGCATCTGGCAGGTCTGGAGTCAGCCAGAGTTTTCTATATTTAATAAAATGAAGCAAAACCACCAAAAAACGTCCCTAAACTCTTTGCAGAACGTCTCATTTTGTTCCACTGCAGCAGTGGTTCCCAACCTGAGGGTCAGGACCCCCACTAGGGGTCACCCAACCTTCACAGGGGGTTGCAAGGCCTTCTGGATTTTAAGAAGCGCTAGAAAATGTAAACCACATACACAGTATTTGCAGAGTAGGCCTGCATCTCAGCATTTCGTTCACTTCTGTGAAGAAAAATAAATGTAGAGTAAACTGTTCTGTCATTTGTCTAAAAGAACAATGTGTCAAGTGTCAGGGACAAGAAAACACTGAATTTGTCAAAAAAGAAGCTTAGCAAGTCAGAATGATTGTTAGAAATGATAAAAACATACACAATAGACAGAGAATTGTATAAAAAGTTCCCTGTTCCTTAACAGGAAATAATCAAAATTCATCCGCCAACCATACTCCCTCCCTCAATCCACACATTTTTCAACATGTATTTCTGCTGCAGAGCATTCCCATAGGATGATGTGTGCAGTGGTTTCCATCTACACGCATTGTTGGGTTTTTTTGTTGAGTCTCACAAAAAGTCTCACAAATGATTTCCCAGAAGGCCACAAATTCCCATACCTTAGATATAATGTTCCTGGCTTCCCAGTAGAACTAAATTAAGAATTAGGGGGTGAAGTTAATTATCAATAATCATGTAAAATGAAAACCCAGATCCAAAACATGTATGTATGAAGGAGTTGTTTTTTTAAAGGATATAGTATGAAGCCTTTTCCTGGATATACAGTTTGAATCAGTGAAAACAGGCAGTAGGGTTATCTAAGGTCCATTTACTGACTCTGAAGATTCATCAGGGTTAGTTTTAGGGTCTTCCTCGGTGGACATTTGTCACAGAAACAGTTGTTATAATGCCATTATAACAACTGTAAATACAGTGGCTGGTAACTCCTTCAAACCTGCTACATTTTTGTTTTAATCTCTGAATAATCTCTGAGTCTGATGGGAATTGATCTAAAAGGGTTAAGCCAGAATTGCTCAGATTGACTGGAGCAGGAAATTTGTCTAT